CAAACTCAGTAATTTCTTAATGACTGTATTATGTTAAAATACATCCTTTAAAAGAACCAACTTTCTGGGCCAGCCCCCCGAGCACAGTGGTTAAGGGAGCCGGCTGATTGAGGTTCAAATCCCAGCCCTGGCGGCTTGAAAAACATGCTGAGCATGTGTGCATGGGCATCCAAAATTCCAAGGGAATGTAGAAATGGAGGAGGGGTTACAGCTTGACCACATCCCACTGGGGGGGGGTTCTTTCTTCTTTCTCTTTCTCTCTCTCTCTCTGTCTACCTCCCTTTCTCTCTCTCTCTCTTGCTCTCTGGCGAGCACACATACCCTCTGGCAATTCAGAACAAAAGCTTTTCCTTTTGGTCACTGGGAGGTTAAGACGACAGAGAGTTAACAGACACTATTCCAATCAATAAGCAAAGTAATTTGCCTTTAAACACATTAGTTTTACAGTAAAGTATTACACTGTATTTCTGAATTTAGTCCTATAAAAATAATAGAAATGAAAATACTGTCACATAGCATCGTATCATAGTATATATCTGGCTATAACGCAGACGAAAACATGTTATCTACTCTTGTCCATACAAGGCGTCATTGGAAAGCTCTTGGAAAATGCACATCATGAAAAAAACTACACATGGATTTCAAAATTTGTTTTGGACCAAAATAAACTCATATTTTAATTCTATTTTTCATAAACTTTTGATGTCTCCTGGTGTGTGTGTGTGTGTGTGTGTGTGTAACAACATACAGTGGGCTCCTCCTTTTTGTACAATATTAAAGTGCTAGTTGATGATTTGACACTCTAAAACCAGGCAAAGAATGATCAAACAATATCTGAGCTGTACAGGGTAGGCTCAGACATGACCAAATTCCTGGGACACCCTTGAAACACCCCCACTAAAGACCAGATGGTCACAGCTGTGGATTGTGAAGTTATGCAGGCAGTAATCCTAGATCAAGAAAGAAGATAATGAAGGTAAAAAGTCTACCATTATCACACAGTTCAGGGGCCACATGAACCAGGAGTTTCTGCAGGGTCCAGTCTTTACTGCTTGTCAGCTTTCTGGAGACTCCTAATTTCTGAAGGCAAGAAAGAGACTGGAGGAGGGGGGTGGGGGTGGGGCAAATGCTGTGCTTAGCAGTAGAATCCCTGAGGCTTTTTCCCTGTGGTGCGAACACCTCCCTAATGCAGAAGCAATGGGTTCTGTTCTTGAAAAGGCAGCTGTTAGGATTTCTCTCAACTGAATTCCTCCTCCCGTTCAGAGGGGAAGCTCACCCAGAGCTTTGCTCTGATGCCACAATTCCCCACACTCTAGAAAATGATGTCGACACCTAGAGCTTTGTTTTCACAGCCTTTTCTGAGCTCAGCAAATACACAGGGTGGTGCAATTGTGGCTCAGAGTGTTTTACTTCTGCCAGAATTTTAGCTCACTTCCTAAAATAATTATATTAGAGGTTGCAAACCAATGGTCTGTGGGCCAAATCCAGTCCACAGATCTGCCTGGTCTGGCCTCAGCAGTTCTTAAAAAAAGTTGAGCCGAATTTAAAAATAGGGAGACTTTACATAAAAATTTAGATATCTAGATTTTTTTGTTCTTTTTCTGAAAAATCAGATGATCTAGCAACTGCAGGCAACAACTGGCTGAAGCTGAAGTACCACTCTCCTTTCAGAAAAAAACCCAAATGCTCCAGTTTGCTTAGTCTCCTACACATCCTAGGGGTCCCAGACACTGAAACCTAACCTTGCTTCATTCATTACTGGGTTTGTGACATCAAAAATGTGTTCTACAGAGAGGAAAAAGATAGTACAAAAACTACCAGTCAAGTCTAGTGTACCTCATCGGCATACTACTGACAGTAATTTGGGACACAATAATTCATCATGTAAGACTGTCCCAGGGAAACAAAGGAATTGAGCATCCTGGCCCCTCCCATAAATTCCTAGTAGCAACCTGAAGAAGCCCCTAAAGAGGAAGTAATATCTTAGGCTGATGACCACTGCTCCTACATTAATATTGGCACAAGTGAGCATTTGCTCTTGGGTTTGCAGAAAAGTTAGCCTTATCTTGAGAGGTCTTTTAAGACTAAAAAATGAAAAGAGTCATTTGTTTTTCTGATTAGTGTGGCCTCATAAGAACTGTTTAACATAAGCAAGTGAGTATACTATATAAAGCTTAGGAATTTTCATCCATTTTCCTGCTGCATTAGAGTTTTTTTTTTTTTTGGAGAGATTTTCACTGTAGGGCGCATGCGCTCGCCAGCCAGACAGAGAGAGACATAGAGACAGAAAGCGAGAAATCACCCCCCAGGGGGGATGGTCACGCCGTAATCCCTTCTCCTCCATTCTCCTCTCGGGATCTTGGGCACACACGCACACGCGCCCGGCGTGAGTTTTAAGCCACCGGGTCTGGGACACGAACCGCGGTCGACTACGTGGGAGTCCAGCGACATAGCCATTACGCTAACTGCTGGTTCCCGAGCATTAGAGGTTTTGACTTTAGATAATATTTATAGTGCCAGGCACCATGTCAAAGGTTCTGCCTCATTTAACCCTCAATAATCACATGAGAGAGGTAGTACTATCACTCTCATTTTACAAATAAGGAAACAAGGCTCAGAGAGGGTAATAATTTTCCTGTGGCCACACAGTTAACAAGTAGCAAAGCTAGGATACGAACTTGAAGTCTATGCTCTTAACCATTATTTTCCTGTACTGCTGACTAACTGGTAAGACTGTGATGATGTATTAACTCTTCAAGACAGCTTAAAGCTAACCATGCTTTCAAAATAGAAGAGTGTTTGTACTAGATTATAAATTATTCAAGTTAAACTGCAACATGAAGTGGCTGATAATGGAGATTAACAAATGATCCTTTACTGGTAAAAGTAAGAGAACCAACTACAGGATTTTTCATACTTATATGTAAAGGTGCTACCAAATAACAAAGTACAGATAGGATACAATAGTTATTATTTCCCCCTAAATGAGCCTTGCAAGTAATCTCTAAAACAATCATCCTATAGGATTTTCATTATAGTGGAAACCATTTTGAAACAGTCACATATTCACTGTACCTATCTTGTATTCTTTTATACTCTCTAAGAAATATAATGTAAAACCAACATATTTATATTAAAATAATCAGAAAGCATTTTCTTTTAAAAATTTAATTATTTTTTAAAAGAACTGTTTAATTTTATTAATTATTATTATTTTTCACACTCACCAGAGAGAGACAGAGAGAGGGAAAGTGAGACAGCAAGCTGTGAGGTCTGAGAATTGAACCACAGTCAGCCATGTGGAAGCACAGGGCCTCAACCAACAAGCCACCAGCTGGCCCTCTTATTTATTTTTTATTAATATAGTCCCCAAAAATAAAGAGAAGAGTATTCAGATTGAATTAAAAGTAACACCTCTCCAATGGATATGTGTGCCAGCTGCAACCTATACATGGAAATATTTATGAATATGCATAAATATATGGATAGTATATACATGGAATTTCAACTGAAAGGGCCTAGAAGCAGCAACACCCCACGAGCAATGAGCACTTCTATCACCCAGATCTTGATTTCTAATAGTATTATCTAATAAAAGAACCAGGGCCCACTAGAGAATCAGATGATTTTGAAACTAGGGCAGGGAACATACAGGAAGAGCCTGTATATCTTGTAGTGCCAGAAAGTAAGGAAATATTAATATCTTATTCAAACAAAAATAAATCTCACAACAATGGAGGCATCTCAAAACAACATAAGAGCCAACTGAAAGAGTTCTCAATGGCCAAAGCTGTAAAAATCTGAACACCAAAATACAGATAGTAGTATTGAATTACATACAACCCAAAGTATAAATATCCATGAGCCCATACTGATATATTTTGAAAGATTGGATATATTTTAAAAGATTGGTTAGTCAATTAATTGAACTGTCCACGCAAAAGAATTCAAAATAATTTATGTAGATTATTCACCCTCAAAGAGATGGAGCATAATTTCCCATTTCTTTTTTTTTTTTTGACATAGGATATATGCACTCGCCAGAGAGAGGCAGTGAGAAAGAAAGTAAGAAATCACTACCCAGAGTGGATGGCCATGCCACTATTGCTTCTTCTCCTCTTGGGATTTTGGGCATGCACGCGCACACACACACACACACACACACACACACGTGCCCAGTGTGATTTTCAAGCTGCTGAGTCCAGGACTCGAACCACAGTCAGCCATGTGGTAGTTGAGCACCTTAACTACCACGCTGCCTGCTGGCCCCACTTCCCACTTTTTAAGTGTGGACTACATATAGTGACTTTTTCCAAAAACACACAATATAGAAAGGGTCTTAAAAAAAAAAACTTTATAGTGGAGAAACCTGACAAACACCTTCTCATCCAGGTGGCTGAGGTCAACATAGTAGAAAGACATGTTGATAGTGTGTACTCTTCATGATATTGGGTTGTTGGAAAAGTCACAATGCATTTTTGCATAGAAAAATATAGAAAAAATATGCCATGACTTTTCCAACCACCCAAAATTATGAGAACATGAGAATGGCACGTTTTTTAATTTCAATTTCTTTTATACATTCAATCACGTTATTTAACTTGCAAAGTGAATATTTCAACATGTGTACATTTCTCACCAGTACAGTTGACAATACTATAAAGTTATCTTCAACAGATAATAACCCATTTCTTTGTCCTACAAATACTTTGCCTCTCTATTTTTTTACTTAATGTCCTTCCTCAGACTCTCCTCCTTCACCCACCATCTTCCCACACTGTATCTGGTATTCACAACCATTTACTATGTTTCTATATCCTTTAGTCATTCAGTTTCGGTCATAGAGTGTGGACACTCGGTATATATTAAGTGGAGACATACGATGTCTCTCCTTCATAGCACTTTATCTTTGTGGCATTCTTCCCAAAAAACTATTATCCCAGTCTAACGATGACAAACATATCTGACAAATCCCAATTGAAGGGTATTCTACAAAATACCTGATCGGTACTCCTCAACACTGTCCAGGTCATCAAAAACAAGGAAGGTCTGAGAAACTGTCGTAGCCAAGACGAGCCTAAGGAGACATAATGACCAAATGTGATGTAGTTTTCTGGATAAAATCCTGAAACAGAAAAAAAAAAAAAACACATTCGATAAATATTAAGGGAATCTGAATAAATTATCAACTTCAGTTAATAATAATAATAATGTTTCAATACTGGTTCATTAATTATAATCAATGTACCATGCTAATGTAAGCTGTTAGCAGAGGAAACTGGGTGTGGGGTATGTGGGGACCAGCAGTACTACCTTTTCAATTTTCCTGTAAAACTAAAACTGTTACAAAAAATAAAGCGTTTAAGATTAGAAAAAAAAAATACCTCAAGATGTATAAGCCCTGGCACAGGAATTTCATTCACATCTCCAACTCTAAAAACACCTTCTTTTCAGTAGTCTAGAAACCTGAGAAAATGAAAAGATGGTTATCCTTTTGCACATTTCCCAACCTAAACTTGGAAAATGACAAAAACTAGAAGCTTCTGGTGCTTTAGCAGACAGGATGCTAGACCACACTTATAGGGCAGGTGGCTCTTTACCATCATCTTTTCTTTGAGGTCAAAATACTTTATTTTTTAATTT